TGTTGTAAAGAACTTATATGCAAATGTTGAAATTTTATAAAGAACCTCTAGTCTGGTAGTTAAACCAATTTGTCTGCGATGTTAAACCATTCCCATTATAAAAGGAGAGCTAGGATCAATCATCCGGACGAGCAGTTACAAAAAAGCTTGAGTAGTCACTCAATCCGACAACTCTCACAGTTTCGCAATCCCACAGATCGCTAAGTTACTCAATCGGAGAGCTTGCACAAGTACTCAAGGAGACAATACAGTACAGTTAGGCAATCAACCATGACAACGGTTTAACGGCCGAGAAGCGGCAATACGACAGTTCAACAGTATAAGCGACAAGACCGTTTGGTACCCTTTAATACTTATTGTGCATTATTCATTTCGTCCCTATTATTGTTTCAATGCGATATTATTATACCATATAGTTAAGAGCAATAAAGGAGGAGTTAAAGAAACAAAAATAAACCTACAAAATCCCCGATAGAGATAAGGTTCCCTTTGTACACTTTGATTTTTCGGAAAGCTCCTTTTTTCTCGGAAAACTTATATCGTTTTTAAAATATTTTTGATTGTTAACAGCTTGTTCAATTTCATTGTGACATACACAGAAGTCTGACTGGACAATCTGACTGGAAAAACTGAAGTGTCCATTCATGAATTTGATTAGAGAATGATTGAAAAAATGCCAACACTATGTGTTATCGCAAAAAAGAGGAAAGAAATATTTGATAGGAAAGGAATAAAAGTGGAAAGAAATATTCAAATATTTGACGTGAACTTTGTCAGTAATCTGAACTCTTTTCGGAACAAAAAACGATTTAAAAAAAAAGCAGCAAGAATATAACAGTATGAAGAAAAGAAAATGTCTTGATTTTCTTTTCTCTATTCAATGAATTCATTTGAAATTATGAGGATAATTTGTCAACTAGCAAATAGCAATGTGTAGTAAAAGGACTTGTCGTTTTATCATCAAAACAATGTTTTTTTGTGATTCTACAATGTGTTAGGCAAACATCCACGTATTTGAACAGCCTTGATTAAATTTCCTCTGCTATCTTTTGGCTCAAAATCGAGGATACCAGCAGCTGCTCCCCAAACATTCATTCTTTCATCCTTTGTTATCGTTCCAGTCTCGCGGAGTGTTACGCTTGTATCCGAATAAACTGTCACCTATAGCTAATATTTCAAATGTTATAACAAAACAATAATTGACTCACTCATAAGGATGAAATTTCAGAATTTTCATTTCTCTAAATCATAAGCAAATCAAGCGGGTGACATATGTCCATTAAGATTTTGTATATTTCACTGCAATCTTCGTTTTTTTTTCATGAAACAAACATGACACATTTACATCAGCCTAGTTTGCATCATACTTACAGGAGTGCTCAAACTATCTTTCATCGCTCCTTGTTGATCTGAGTAGAGTGCGCGTTTGTCTTCTTCGTACTTCTTTTTCCATTCCATAAACATTTCCTGACTCATAAACTTCTGCAACATTATTTCTCCAATGTTTCTATAATTTCAACAAATTCAATAATCCTTTCTTTCTTCAACAAATTACATACCTTATATGTGACAGATAAATATTTGAATACTTTCTCTTTAGCTGTTTTCTTCTCAGCACATTTGAGATTATCTACTCTTTGCAGTGATATTTTCGACTTCAACACTTCAATTACTGCTCTGAAAACTTCAAATCATTTTAAAATTTGGAAGATTTGAGTAAAATCCATGAGGAATGGTTTTACCGCTTAAGAGGAGCAAAAGAAAACTTCCATTGTCCCCTGAAAAGAAGTATATATCTGGAAGAATTCTGGATCTGAATGCAAATTTAGGCTTTTGTATCAGGAAATGGAAGACTGGAATTTATATGGCTCGATTTGAGATGCATAAAGCTATCATTTTCAATATTCAGCACTAACTTCACCGGTTTTAGATCCTCATCCTCTTCCTCTTTGATGGTGAATACAGATAATTTTTTGGCAGCATTGAATACTGGGCTTTCCGTTCGTGTTCCCGCCTTTCCTCGACTGACTGCAATATGTATTGAGAAATAATCCTGGATATTTCTCGCAATCCCACTTTATCTCGATTTCAACGACAGGTTTATAGTAGAGTTAAAATTTTTTATGCATTATTCATCCAACAAAACTTAATTAATTTATTTACATTCCAAAATGCAACAAATTCAAACTTTTTCAAAATCAATTTTTTGTTAGATTCATGGTATTTTCTTTTAAGTCTTTCTCCTTTAGTTTTAAGATTAATATTTATAAGAACATTGAAAATTATTCAGATTTCTTCCGGATTTTTTTGAGAATCTTTCATAATGTCTCATTTTTGAGTTGAGTGACAACAATCAAAAACTACAAACTACGCTCCAAAAGGGGCATTTAGCCATAAGTGGAAATGAATGAAGTCTTAGCATGAGTAAGTAGTACAGATGTCGCATTGAAAAGTTCATAAATAAGTTCGTATTAAAAGTGCACAAGGCGATATTATCATATCCAGAAACAATTGTTTTATTTCTGATATTTGTTGGCAGAGCTTTCTCAACCTTTTTCTGATGTTGATAAGATCAGCGATTCACCATCTTTCCTAGCTGTAGACGCAACGTTGGTGCTTCTGGGGTCAAATTTCCGCTCCACGTTGATTTGCACCAACGGGGCTTGATACTGAACAACAGCTGTAGAATTGCTGGGTATAGGCGCACCTTCGGTAAAATCGATACATAGTGTCATATGAGCTGGACTGGTGCATGATGCCGAGAAATAATTACGCACTGCGGTTTGCACCACTTGGCGCACCATCTGCAACAACAAATTTCTCTTAAAACTGTTTTGAATTTCCAAGAGAGTTTCTGTTGGAGATAGACTCAGAATTCAATAACAGTTCCTACTAGCCGAATTTATAGGCCAATTATTGATGCAATCAATAAATCAACCAACTGCATGGTCAGAGCAGGCATATTCGGCATCAAATTCTGAGAGTACTGTACTGCTTCCCGATTCACTGTTATGCTTCTCACTTCCCACTATTGACGACATCGACCGTCTCCTAGATATACAGCAAACATTAAGTGACAATTATCAAAATTTAAATAGTTTTATGCTTATATTTTTGAGTCGTAATAAAATATTTAATTTAGTTTCGGTTCGAATAAAACAGCTATAACTTTAATGTGGTATGGTTGATCTGGGAACTTTTACTCCTTGTCATTCCAATGAAACTAAACAGTTTCAAAAGAAAAGCTTAGTTTTTAGCTTTCATACTTTCTTTTGGCTTATGTTTAAGAGAGAGTTAAAATACAAATCTTTGTTTCGTGAATTTTTCTGTGTTTTCAAATTGTTGAAAACATACAATTTCCACTCCTTCCTTGTTATTTCAACCTGCTCCATGTCAAATATCACATTTAAATATCGCACTTTCAGTTCCTTCATGAAGTCACCAGAAAACTCTCAAATCCTTGTGCTTTCCTCTATTTTCATATCTCGAAAATAGTGAGTCATTTAAAACCAAGCATCAAATCTCGGAAGCCATTATTGATTTGAACTTACTACAACAAATATTACGAGTTGCATATGTATTGAATATTAAATAATATATGTTGGATGTTAAATTGGATGGCTTGGTGGGTTTATGAAAGTTGTGTATTGATGAGGTTTTACTGGTAGAAATTCTCAGAGACAAAAGAATATCCATAGATTTTCTCAATTTCAGAATCTTGAACAATTAATCATCGTTTCTCATGGTCCCTTGACATTTTTGTATGGTTAATTGTAATTGGGTAAATCATTAACCGAAACCTGTGTGGTTCATAAAGTTGTCAACTCTTTAATTTTGTTTTTAGATTAGTGTTAATGTGATAGATAATAGAAAGATCTGAGATTTTCACTTAGATTTCGATCTAAGTAAATTTTCCACAAATTATTCTTGAAATTAAAATTAAAAAGTTCGCAAAGGGAAAAATTAAATGTTATGCATTTGCTTTAAAGGTGTTTCAGCTTGCCTTACGATTTTTCCACTTATGTCTATTATTTTTCAGCCAAGCAAGGCCAAGTTGAAAGTAAAGAACTTCATAGGATGTATGTTTATAACGCCAGCTTGCAAAAACCACATCAATAATATATTTTGCACGGATATTCAAATGGTAAATGTTGGAAAATCATATGAATGAATAAGGGAAGCTCGGGTGTTAGCCAAATTTAGCCAATTAATAAAGAAAAAATGAGTCTGAGAGGGATGGAGAGCGCAAAGCATTGGGGGCGCTATTAAATTCGACAAACAGCTGCTAATTTTTAAAAAACTAAATACTTATTATTTCCCAATTAGAAACCAATTTCTAATTCCTTTGTACTTGAAATTTGAAATTTGTTTATCAGTGACATCGAAGGGCACGATCATTTCTAGTTTCTGTTCATTATATTGACATTGACGACATTGACGACGATTCATGTTTCAACAGCACGAGTGTCACTGTCCCGCCAAATTCTAAACATCAACTCTATTATAGAGTTAACTACCAATTAAATTTTAATTAATTTGGCTATAACTTTCGTCCGTCATCATTCACTTGAAATTATTTCTACTCTATAAATAAGATATGAGAAGACGGTAAAATACCTGTAGCACCTTTGCATGAAATTTTTCTTGTCATTGAGATGAATAACATTTTCATTGAATTTTCTGGTGAATTTCAGGTTCAATATGGATAATATTACTTTCTCTCTATCCACTCTTTTATATTTTTTCAACATTTGTCCGCTCTTTTATATTTTTCTTTTGTTGGAGCGGAAAAGTACTTAAACGAATTTTGAAAGTACCACTCTTTGGAAGTAGGTGCGCTGTTGTGAAGTTGTTATCGATATGAGCTCATCGAAATATTACTTTGAATTGTATTCTAAGTGGGCACTGCATCTCTGTCTTTGTTAATTTCTATTTTCTAATTAATTAAAATAGAACCATCAGACACGGTTTTATCATTTCGAAAAAAGAAAATTGTATCACATAAATTTATTTGCTCTTGTTTTTTGGACTGATAAATTGTGACGTCTTCTACTTTCCTGTTAAAAATTTGATTAAGACGAAATGTTTTCAGTAATTTGAAAGGAGAGAGCAAAAAGAAGTTCTGTATATAGATCAGGTTTGTCATAACTTTACTTTCGGTTTAAATTTACAACAAATGCGATGACTTATGCATAAGTACTGCTTGAGAAACGAATTTCTTTAAATATAACGATTTGAACGGATCAGTATTTGTTACGGAGATGGATGATATTTCAGCTTTTTTCGCTGTTTGCCAGTACGATTAAGCGAATCGTTATTGGATTCTCTCATTATTGTGATAAATAAGAGTAAGTGACTTCAACCAATTATCTGCAATATATTCTCTTCAAAATGAAATTTAAAACATTGTAGTAACAGGAATAAAGTTCTGCGAAATCTTTTATTTTTGGATTTGAATTATTAAACGCTTCTGAATGTTTGGTTTAAAAAAATGGCATAAACAGTCGCTCCTGTGAAGGATCGGATTTCAACAAAGCTTTGTTTTTATCCTCCAAATAATCAATATGCATAATAAATTCTTCAAGTTAAATTTGAGCCATCAATAACAGTTTAGCCAAAGTATTCCATCCATATATTATGTTATTCAAAGACTTTCCTTCCGCATTTGATGGCTTTCTCTCTGTTTATCTTATTTCATCAAGTATCTTACCTCATTTCATCGATACTGCATTGTTACAGGTAATCTGATAGTAGAAATATGACGTCGTGAAGATGCATCGCTTGATGTTTTGATGACAAGTATGACTTTTTAAGCTTTGTAGAAAGATTTCTTTTTCAAAAATCAAGTGAGATTGAATCAATTACTCGTTGACTTAATTCGCCTTATATTTATTTACTTACCTCTTTAATAGATGGCAGTTAACAAAACTTTACACTTTTAGTACGATATAATGATCAGAGGATCGCCAACTCAAGATCGTCAACTTCTGACATGTTAAAATTTCTAATAATTGGCCTATATCAAAGATAACTGGTGGCTGCCATTTTATTTAAAAATAAATGATTAAGTGAAAAATATGTAAACAAATGTATTATGGCAAATTTGATAAGGATGCTTAAATATTTGTTCAGAAAATTTAAAAACCATCAACAATTGTCGAATTCCTTTTACAAATCAAATATTACTTTTGCATTCGCTGCAAAAATAAATGTCTTCGAAATTATGCTTTGTTTTTAAAAATTCAAGAACAGAATATGTTGTTAACAACATGTGAAATATCTAATTAGTGATAATATAAACTTCATTACTACATGTGACAAAATCTTTCATCCTTCGCCCGCTATCTTGAAAAGAGTATCTGCCGAACAATTGTTTTTTTTTTTCCAGTAAGCAAAAAACCAAAAATTATTTAACAAATGTCAGAAAAGCGAGAATATTATAGAACTG